AGAATAACGATCAAGGAGAAGCGACAGCTTGGTGTTTTTAGTGTACCGTTTTGTAACGCGCATGTGCGAGAATAAGTTGTGTATCACTCAAAATGATGTTATCTGTCAAAGTCAGTCCAAATTGTGTTTAGTACGTGAGCAATGTTAAGTGATATTTTTTGGTGTTTGTTTTGTGTAGTAATAAGATGAAGATTTTTACACACTTAGGTATTCTAATGCAGATATAAAATGTGCCAAAAAAGTTACTAGGAAACTAAAGAATTTTATCACATGCATAAATATTAAGTATAATGATTTAATAATTTTTGACATTTTATTTTTCATATGTAGGTATTGTATTTTGTGAAATATATGTTTTCTTCTTTTAAATAAATTTAATAAACAATGAACTGGAGATTTTGTTTATTTTATTTTGAAATTATATTTAAAAAAATATAATAAATCCGCGTGTTTCAATTAGGATTGGTCAAAATGGGCGAAAACCCTTTATTATGGCTAAATTGTAAGGTACAATTATGTCAATATAAAGATGTTTTGCCCATTCATATTTACATTTATTGGATGAATCATACTGGAGTTGATTTTGGAAATATTGGTGCATGCTTAAATAAGTACTATTTCAAAAAATCCGTCTATGCCCAGACAGCACACCAATGTACGTCCACTTTAGATCTATTTGAGGGTCAGGATGTCCATATCCGGGCATCCAGTGTACGTCCGTTTATGCTAATTAAATTGACAGCTGAATATTGATACCCAGAGAATGTCTGTTTTTGGACTTAATTTTAAGTTTAGTAGAATTTTGACGTCCAGTGGACGTCCATCTTAGGTCATTATTTATTAAGCCTACCAGATAATACTCATCTATAATATATACTTCTTTTTTTTAATATAACTGGTCATTAAAAATTGACAAATTAAATCTATTGCATTTTATTCTATCAGCGAAAGTTTGAAATCTTATTCAATTATAACTATATCTAGTAAAAAAAATTCAAGTGGTTCCTTGGTCGAGCTCGTCTAGCGATTGAAAGTGTAAAACGATAATGGATGTGTCGTGAGTTCGATGCCTGCTCAGGTCAAGCGATATTTAATAAAAAAAAAAGTAATGGTGTATAGCGGTTTGCGAAAATAATAAACAAATTATTAATAATATAAAATAGTGTGTGGTAAGTTGCGGTTCTGTAAAAAAAGTGGGGATGTGATCCCAATGGAAATATAATCCTGGACGGTTTTTAAATGTTCAGTATTCGACGTCCAAATATATTCCGGAATTGAACGTCCTCTGAATGGTCAAAAGTGTGCCATTTGTATACTTCACTGGACGTCTATTGGATGTCGGAAGTCCAGAAAAAACTCATTCTTTGACGTCTAGACATCCAAAATTGTATATCGAATGTACGTCCAATGGACATATTTGTATTGTCTGGGTGATAGCCAGGCCAGGTATTTAACTCTAAATACATAAACCTTAAATGACATCTGGCTTAACTTGGCGAGAAAACACTTGTTTATACAGAAATGAGTGATACACTTGAAAGTCCTTTTAATATAATATAAATCCAGAAATTCTAAAAATATGTAAGTACTTTTTAAGACTAAAAGTTTTTGAAAATATAAGCACATTGCAAATATTTAGTTAAATATCTCAAACTTAATGTCTTTTTAATTGTTACCTAAATTTTTTTTGGCACCCTTAATTTTATTTACCTTATTTTTACTTAAGGAAAAGGTAATTTAATTTAAATATGGGCCTTTTATTACATTTTTAACAATAAATAAACCAAATATTGAACAAATTTTATAGATAAATTATAAAATAATAAACGTCTTTTACTTTTATAATAAATAATTAATTATTACATAATGAATTATATTTTGGTGCCGAAATTTCACCATTGCTATTAACCCTAACTACTTTAATGTAATTAAATCACATTACAACATTTGCGCATGAACTATAACAATGATTTCAGATAATTTGCCAAACTATTTCGCTTAGTGTAGAAAATAAGCATGTTTTCTCAGCGTGCTAAGTTGTGTATCAATCAAAGTCATGCTGTGAAAAAGGTACATCCGATATCAAAGGCACCGACAGCTACTGTCGCTTCTCCTTGATCGTTATTCTCGGATATTAAACTGGGTGGGCTATGACATAAACCCTACTCCTCATTTTTAAGCCGATATGGGTGAAAAAACGGTCGGTGCGCATGACAATTTAAACGCCAAACTGTCAATTTCGAGCATTCCACGTCACGTTTCCCACGGGCGTACTACGACAAATTATATTATTTTTTATTAATAACGCGCTATTTTAATAATAATAATTATTATTATTAGAACATTTGTTTCAGCTGCGTATTAATCAAAAACACATACTGTGATTTTCTATTACTATACGGAGAATGGTCGCACTGCGCAGCTTTCTGAGTGCCTTTTAAAAGGAGATAGAAAACTCCGCCATTTTGATCCCTTATTACGTGTTGCCTACATCTTGGCGCAATATTATTAATAGGTGCGTTTTAATCATCCGCTTCTGTTTCGGAATTGTCGGTTTTCTTGTTTTAATCTGACAGGTTAAAACGACTAAGGGCCGGTTCCACCGTTGTGTCAAACGGAGATTAAAATGACATTGTTAATGTAAAAATGTCATTTTAAACTTTGTTTAACACAACGGTGGAATCGGTCCTAAACCGACATGCGATTCCAGAAGCAGAAGCGGATGATTAAAACGCACCTGATATTTTGCTTGCTGCTGTCAGTGTCAGTGAATATTATTTTTGAAGTCACAGTTTATTGCTAAAGAATCAGTTAGCTCACTCGGACCAGTTGAAAGTTCCAAAATAACATCCACTCCAGGGATACAAATTCAGAATACGCAGAAGACTGCTGTTTTATTATAGGCGGTTGTCATATATTGTATTATCCGAGTTGCGCAGTGTATAAACTAGAACATTGAGATCAAAAGTGCCGACGCAGAGTGAGCGATCTGATTCTTGAGCTATAAACTGTGGCATAGGAATCAAAATGGCCGCGTCCTATGTTGGGCGTGTCGGACCTCTCTCTTGCACCGTATAGTAATCAAAGTATGTGATCAAAAATCATTTTTGAGTAATTTTCTTAAATTAAAAGGTGTCATAATAGTGGTAATTCTATAACGAATATGTTAAAATTTAACGGACGTTAAAAATATAACGTATGTTAAATATGAAAAGCAATTCTGTAAATTCATGAAAAATTTTAACTTGTCGTAATTAACATAATAGTTCATTTGTACCGCAAAAATCTATTCTATAAGCAAAAATATGTTAAAAATTATACGTTTATTTTTAACGGGTGTTAAATTTTACGATTTTAACATAGATTGTAATTCTGTAAAAATAAAATTAACAATAATTTAATTTTGATAATCCATTTTAGTGCATTTAGATACGCACATGTGGGCGCCAAAGTGTCAAATATCACCTCGCTATGCGGCTTTATTAATGCTGCGTTTGAGAATCCACATCGGATGCATTTTTTACATCTCGAGCGTTTTTTTATCCACATCGGACACATCTGTCCCATTACATTTACGTATACTGAGGGTGTATTCGGAAATGCTCTAGCTCTAGCTGAAAATGGCGGCAAACCGTAAGCATTTTAGCTAGTAGGTCTGTTCTGGTTCTTCAAAAATATGTTGAAAACAGTCCGAGTACTAGTTGACCAGTGGAAAGTTTAAAAGTTTTACGCGACGAATAATTTGGTATTTAACTGTTCCGCTGGATCTCGGACGGTTTGCAGCATATTTTGAAGAAACCAGAACAAGCCTAGAGCTAGAGCATTTCCGAATTCACCCTGAATCACGCGATCAAAGATTTTTTACATCTCTGATGCATCCGCGGCATTTGTTGATCGGCTTTGTTCTTCCAGTTTAATATATAGTCACAGAATAACTATTACAGAAGCGAAGGCTTGCGTCGGCACGTTTGATGTCGGGGTGGCCCTTTGAATTCAAAGGGGTGGCCAAAATTTAAATTGACACTCGGTGACAGTTGACGTTTTTGCAGGTTGTTACACTGGTAAAAATGCACAAGATTCGTATAAAATCGGATAATACACTGAGAAAAGGATTTAAATATATGTAACAAACTTATTTAGCAACATCCACTATTTCTTTTCTGAATTGAAGGTTAGGTTAGAAAAATAGGGCTTCACAATAATTTATTTTGAAGTAAATTGTACTGATCGCTAAACTGAAAAAGGTTTTTTACTTGAGGAACCAGACCGAATACTCGTACTTAATTCATATCAGTTTTTTTAGATAACTTTAACTTTTTAACAGAGTGATTTGATGTATTAATTAATTGTGTACTTTCCTGGAAAATACCTTCAACTATGATAGTTTAATCTAGAAAAATGGATTAACTGATAATAACTGGCATTAAAAATGCAAATATCCTTCCTAACTGTAATTTTGAAAGCCTTTTATGTGTTTAAGAGCCTTAGAACATGTCAATAATATCAAAAACAATCCTTGTAATAAGACTTTCGCCATACTCTCTAATAATTTGACAACTCGGTGGATAAATCCGTGATTTTTTACAATTCTATTAGTTATTCTGTGATAGAACAGAGGTAAAAGTTGGAAATGCTTTTGCCAGTTCTCCCACTTTATACACATAACTTGACAGGTTGTCAGCGAATCTCACCGAAGTGGACACGATACATTGGCGTACAAAATTATTTTATAGATGTTAATAACAATTTCGAGTAAATAGTTTAATAAATTGTGAATAGCTGTTGAAATTTTGTAAAATTATAATTTGAATATTATAATACATGTTTAATAATTATTTATAATCCATAAATACATGCGATTGTCCGGTTCCGCCGATAACAATTTAAAATTACTTTTATAAAGCAAAAAATAAAAACTTCCTGAGTACTTCAATGATTTTATCATCTACAATAATGAAATACATAACTACAATACAAGATATGTTAATAATTTTTATATTCCACAAACAAGACTACCTATAGCAACAAAATCTATTTTTATATGTGGATCAGGGTTCGAAAATATCATGATATTTATATAAATATCATATCACATGATATATATCCGATATATATCATTTTTTAAAATTTAAAAAACAGTATTGTTTCTTTCACAAACATATTTTAAATTTTAACACAAACATATTAACAAAAACTTATATTCTAAATAACAAAACCGTTTATTCTAACTCAAGTTAAAAAGAAAAAACAAAAATAATTAATAAAATAAACCGATTTTAACATTATTTTGTTAACATTAATAATTTAACACAAACACATATAAATTGCTAGTTATTGTACTTTTATACAGGGGCGTATTGAGACATTTTCCGATGTTCAGAATGGTAGAAAACATTTTTAATTTAATAAATAAAATTATCGAATATATCGGATATATATCAAGGTATAAATATCATGATATATATCGATGTGGATTACGTGAATTTAATGCTTTGCCTAGTGAAATTAAAACGAGTACCTCTCTACCTAAGTTTAAAAAATGTTTAATACAATTTATTTCCAGTCCGTAAATTAAATTAACAAAATTAACTTTGTATGTTTACTTTAATATGTATTTATTTTAACTTTAGTACTAAACGTCTTACTCTTATTACTGATTTTATTACTAATTCTATCAAGATTTTATTTTGTTTTATTTTATTTCTTCAACTGAATCGGTGCAGAATGACGATAATATGTAATATTTAAAAAAAACTACTATGTATTAGGACTTCCTATATTAAATAAAGATTATTATTATTATGAAAAACTAATAACAAAGTGCATATTGTCAGTGTTCCTACTTCTTTGGATTACACAACACAAAAACTAAAAAAAAAAACGTAGTGTAGCCAATACATAAACCATGGCGAACAGCATAAAGGGAGTCATTTTATTGTATTGACAGTATCCCCATAGCGCTATATAGACTCTAAAAGCTATGGGAGTTTATAATATAAAATTGTATTTATATACGCGCCACTGGGAATACTTCACGATATTATATGTCTCGAGAAGATTGATAGTCCCTCATTTGACTGCAGAAAGTGGCACGTCGTGGTTTTAGCTTGTTATTTGTAGTTGGGTGAACAACATGTACTACGTCCCGATGGTGGGACCTATATACCTATTTTTATTTGTCGTTAATGTGGTTAAAAATTAATTTTGTTTTTTTTTATTTGGGTTTCAAAATGGTTTAAAAAAAAGCTCAGAAGAGCTAGAAATACGTCTTCCGTTTTCAGTGTTTCTAGGCGATTCTTTTGTTTTTCCAATAACACATTTCCAATTTAAATCTAGATTTTTGACAGTTTAGTTATTTAAAAAAAAAATCAGATTATTAAATTTCTACAGGCGAGTTTATTTTTAAGATTTATACAAAAATTTGTCTCAATTTTATCAAAAGGTTATTTTGTAATCCGTGTTGTAAATTTTTATAATTTTGTATCGCATGCTAGTTTGGAAGAACTTATAAAGATGTTGTAGTAATTGGAAAGTGTCTGATTTGTTACACATCACCAGTGGCAACTAGAGAAATTACTGTAATGAAATAGTAAGATTCAGACTCGCCATCTTTGCTTAAAGATTAAACTAGTAAACTGCTTCTGCTCTTATTTTAAACTAAAATAATAAAACAATGAACGTACAATTTATTTCATTAAGACGGTTTCAATCCAAGATTATTTTCATGAATATTTTTATGCTTCCTTACGGCGCTACTTGTATAAAATCTTTTATCACACAAATCGCACTGATGTGGCTTATCTCCAGTATGTATTTTAATATGTTGCTGAAGAGTACCATTCAATGTGAACTTTTTTCCACAAAAAGAACATTCATAAGCTTTTACTCTGGTATGTAACAGCTCATGATAATCCAGTTGACCTTGTTGCCGGAAATATTTACTACAGTACTGACATTTAAATGGTCTCTCTCCAGTGTGTGTACGCATGTGAATGATCACATGGCTGTGGAAACGGAATTTCTTATGGCAGATGTCACATTCAGTTTTCTTTTCTGTAAGTTTAATAGATTTCCTCATTGAATATGCACGATTACGTACTTTACGCAAACCTGAAAAATAAAGCAATATATGTGATATAGGTGCATTAGCCTTAAACTTTTATATAACAGTACAATGTCAATAAAGAAAAAAATTACAAAATAAAAAAACTATTTTACAAAAACTGAGTTCGGAGAGTCAATGGCAAGAACGGGACAAACTGAGGTTTTTTAGGGTGCTTCTAACGATTAAGGGTATTGAACTGTCACTATTCGGTACGTTCGTTTGGAGTTAAAAAAGTTAATGGCTATCCGAACTAACCTAGGTGAATAAGATGATATTTTGCTATATTCCAAAAAAATCTTTGACAGATGGAACATCTGTTAAATAAAAGAATAGACCCTCTTATGTTGTAATTTTCCAACTAGTTTTTTTTTTTTGACTGACAGGCGACTTATTATAAACTGTCAAAGTTACGATAATTAGGCATTCCAACTACCTGCCAACGGGAAGGGCTGGGGTTTGCGACATATCCTTCCATCTTAGACGCTATTTTTATCTGAAATAGTGGCCCAGTCTGGTAATTTATGAAAAATGTATATGCGTTTTTTTGTATAATATTTACATTGGGCGCGTTCAGCCGACGCAACAGTTGACTAAAACCGAAAACATTTTTCTGATATGGTGGAAGTTAACAATTAAAAGAACCTGAACGGTATAAGTTGGATCAGCGGTTAGACAACACACATACACGTGGTGACCTCTAGTGATGATATAAATAAAATAATTTTCGGTTACAAATTAAGATCATGTAAAAATATACTAAGTCATAATCAGACATAATGGATATTTTTCATCATTTAAGAAATGTGCGGTTATAATCACATATAATTTTAGAGTGGTTAAAAATCAATAAAAACACTAGAAATCTCTAAATTTAAAATTCCTTTAGTTTGCAACACTGAGTACAATACTTCATTCACAAAAGTCACCATAGAATTTGCCTGGTGCCGATTTTGAGCAACGGTTGAAACTAACCAAAACTCAACAAGTGACGTTCAGAAGACCCAACAAGTCACCATACTCAACTGTTGCGTCGGCTGAACGCGCCCATTGTGTTTGACATAAATATACGAACCCTACGACAGCCACTTTGTTTAGAATGCCTAATTAGGCATTCCAACGACCTGTTAAACAATAGGTGCCAGTGGGAAATTCTTGTATATTTAAGGGGGGTAGCGACATAGTCTTGCAACTTGGACGCTATTTTTATTCGAAGTAGTACTCGCCAAGCCTGCCAATTTATGAAGAAATGTATAGGTGGGTTTTTTAAATATTATTTTTATTGTGTTTGACATAAAATATTTAAATGTAATCCATTATTCATGATTTTACGTAAAGTAGATAGAATACACCATATGTCGCCACCCTTAGATATACCAAACCTGCCCACTGGTAATTCATTTGTTTGGAATGCCTAATTATTTGACTCGCACCCTACTAGAGGTGATTTCGATTTTGGGTTCGGTTAGATGAGGAGTTGGAGCAGGACAGTAACTGAGTTTTTTAGGTTGTTTTTTAACTGTCACTTAAGCATATTAAATTATTAATCGGGTTAAACGAAAGTTTAAAAGGGCCATTTAGAATTAAAGTTGTGAATGGGAGCTCGAATAAATGACCGCAGCTTAAGCATTTCAACAACCTGTCCAAATGGCTATCGGAGGGCTTGGACAGAGTCAATAATCATATAAATACTTATTTATCTACATTTTTACTTCAAGGCATGAGCTTATATTAGGTATTTTGACAAAAATATGATCAAACTATATAACTGACCCTATCAAAGCCCTTAGGTAGCCATTTTGTTTGGAATGCCTAATTTATTTTTCTGTTATATATTACTTTCTTTATTCCTCCTACTAAATAGTACTTACCTTTTTTTTCCAAAAGATGATTATCTTCATGTTTTTTAAGACTTTGTTTAGTGGAACAAGTATATCCGCAAATACGACACATAAAATTAGGGTTTGGCTCGGGTTTTGTATTATGTGTCTGAAGGTGCAATTGAAGTTTGCATGCATAATAGAAGCTCTTTCCACATATTTCGCAAACCTTGTTTTTAATTTTTTTATGTGTCAGTCTGTGATCATACAAATTAGAGCTACTGCGATAACGTTTTCCACAAATATCACAAACGTAGGGTCTTTCTTTACCATGAAGTACCATATGGTCTTTGATTCGGACTAAAATAAAAATGTAATAATTATGTTTAAGTGGACTCCAAAAAAATCAAATTCACAAATAAAGAATAGATGTACGTATTTAGAGCCATAATAATTAGCGAAAAGAAAAAAAATGGTGGTACAATGAATTTCAATGTAGTCAACTTTCCTCAAAACACAGTTTTCAAGCTTCTAAGCCATAAAAAATAATGATCTTATTCGGAACATGATTAAAGAGGACCAGCACTGTCAGAAACATTGAAGCAACTTTAAAGATTGGTGTGAAAGCAATTAACACTATTTATTTATTTATAGATTGTTCAACAGGTTAAACCCAATTACAGGAGTACATTTGGAAGAAAACATGTTTAACAAAAAGCATATAGATAATCAAACTAAAATTACAGTAAATAAATTCTAAATTATTTTAAGCAATGTGTTTTTATGTTTTTAACACTGCAGTTAAATATATCCATCTGTTCAATAATATTATAATTATTACACATGTTATATACAGGTGAAAACTTCAGAACATTTGTCTGAGGAGTAATGTAAAATGATTCGGTGTTTCGAGAAGTTGCGCGGGGGATTCTAAAATTAGGCATATGTAAAAGAGGTTCACAATTTAATTTAAAATTAACAACTTTGTAGAGGGTAATTATGGAGAAATACTTCCGTCTTACGTCAAGACTTGTCAATCTGTGTCTAGTCAGTAAAGCATTTTGAGTAATACCAATCGTTGGATAAATTTGGTCTGCTCGAAAACTTAAATATTTAAGGAAACGCCTTTGTATGTACACACAGTCAGAAATATTTTCAATATCTGAATATATTTTTAAGTCATCAGCATACAGCAAATAATCAACATTTATAGCGTCACCAATGTCGTTGATAAAAATATTAAATAACAGCGGACCCAAATTTGAACCCTGCGGTATACCAGAGGTAGCGCAATATTTGTTAGACTTGAATCCATTTAATTGAACATATTGTGTTCTTTGAGATAGATACGATTGGAAAAGTGCAATCTTCTTCTACTAAAGGTTCTAAAGATTTTTCAACCAAACAGAAATGTTTATAATACATCAAGTCTAAGAACTTATTGTAATCATTGAATACAAAGTTATGTTGAGTCAAATCTAGAACGTCGGCAAATTTATTTAAGCTATTTAAGATTTATTTGAATGTTAGATACATAATCAGATATATTAAAATCACCTATATCATTATAAAATTACAATCATGTAAAAAATCTAACAAACATTTGAATATCCGTAAACTTTATTCTCGTTTGATTCCCCACAACTTGACTTTAGCTCAAAAAGATTGCTTTGACCGCTAATTTGGTGTATAACATCATCACAGATGATGAAAAATGGAGATACTGCTATGGTCCCAAAGAAAGCAACAGCCGTCAGTTTGGATCTTTGAGAATGAGTCAGCTCCAACAAAAGCAGATCGTCAAAAAAGCCGAAACAAAAAGATAGTCGCTATTCACTGTAGTACTGGAGGATAGACATACTGTTAATTTCGCGAAAAACGTCCAAGAGAACCATTTGGCATCAAATAATGCTCGGGGTTACACTGTTAATCAAACAAATGAGTGTTTGAATGTCCAAATAATGGGTCATTCGCCGTATAGTCCAGACCTGGCACCTAACGACTTCTTAGTGTCAACAAAGCACAATATCACAAACCAAAGAACAATTATAACTATTACAACAAACAACACAAAAATTCATTTGTGAAAAAATTAATAAATCCAGCAATAAAATGAGTTTTTTTTATTAACTGTACAGACAAAATAATAAACGATCATATACCAACTCATAAACCTTTACTCAACCATCAGTATGGAAATAAAAGAGCAAACTCATTCTGTTTTAACCCGGTCAGTGAATATGACATCGCTGAAATAAAAAAGTCATGTATGGGATCAACACATGCATCATTAAACAAAGCTATTTTAATATACTATCGCCACTCACGGATATAATAAATAGTTGCTTAGTTGAAGGGGTTTTCCCCGATCCCCAGAAATTATCTAAAGTGTTACCTATTCATAAAAACGGAGATGATACTCTGCCAGAAAACTATAGACAAATCCATATCTCACCAGCTTTTTCCATAATTGTCGATAATGTGATAGCTACTTTAAAACTATAACCTTTTCTCTAATGAATAATATGGATTCAGAAAAGGAAAGAACACTTCTGATGAAATTATGTCCTTCGTAAACAATATACAAGATGCTTTTGAAAAGAAAGACAACTTTATTACTCTACAAACAAATTTATCCAAATCTTTTGACTGTGTTAATCATGCAAAACTTGGCGAGAAACTTATTTCTTATGACATAACAGGAATTGCAAATGACTTAATTGCCCATATCTCAGGGGCAGACAACAGATTGTATACAACAAAAAATATAGTGATCTGTTAATGATAAAGAGAGGTGTCCCTCAGGGATCTATACTTGGACCTCTTCTCTTCATTATCTACAAATGATCTTTCAGTCTACATTAAATCACACTTTCGGAATCTATTGCTTAAGAGAGTTCAACTATTGGTTCCTGTCCGACGGACTCGGCACACATCACTTTTGAATGTAAAAAGACACAGAACCAATTACGGACAAGTGCATTATTTATTGATCGCTTATGCAAGAACTATAACAAATTTTACTCGAATTGTGATATATTTAATTGTAATATTTTGGCGCTGAAAAGGGACTTGCAACTCCTGAATGTCTAAGTTTTACTGGTATCGTCCCGCGGTGTTGTTATTATTCCTTTTTTTTTAATATTTTATATATATTTTTTAATTTATTTTATATTGTTTTTAACTCCTACAATTGTTTGTGTTAGGTTAGATGTACAGTACTATTTGGAAATTTACATTCTGTAAGTGCTACATAAATAAATAAATAAATAAATAACCGAAAAAAGCCATTAACAAATAACTAGACAGAGAAATCATGTGTGGACCCATCAAATTATTTTGACCAGTAGTTAAATACGTTATCTAAATATAAATGTTACCAAAATATTAGTTGAAATATAAATTTGGTTATATAATACTATTTTTATTGCCTTTTCATGTGCGCATTTAAGTTTTGTTAAAAAAATAGCTTTTTTTTAATCCCTAACATGTAGAAAAATCATCGATGGTTCATTTTCGATTAAAATTGACAATTGTTAAATTAATACAAATACTTTTATCAAATTTCCATTAACAAGTTTAAATGGGGGGAAAACAGCGTTATCATTTTTTTATACCGGGTGTCCGCGCGAAAACTTTAAATGGAATTATTTCTGGTGTTTTAAAATATATCAACTTGAAATTTTGGAAGGTCATTAAGGAAGTAGGGGTAAATTAATAGTCTATAAGATACCACTCCAACGTGATATCTGCCGCCCCCAGCCACCCCCGGTTCAAAAGTTTAAATGACACCCTGTATTCTGAAAGAGCGTAGTTTTTTTAGTATCTCTATGTGAAAAAATTACTTAATTACGTAATGAACTTTGAAAGATATTTACAGCTAAAGGTTCAGATACCAGATATTCAAATATCGAAAGCAAAAAATAATAGCAAGCCATGAAAGCTGCTTCGTTGCTTGAACTGTCAAATAATATTGTTTGTGACACTTCTGTTTACTCGTTAGTACAAAAGTTTTCGAAAAAATTTGACTTAGTTTAAATTAAATAGCTAAAAAAATAGAAAAATGGTTTACAGTTTGGAAGAAAGAACTGAAATTGTAGTTTTATATGGGATTGCAAACAGAAACTATTCGCAGACGGCAGCATTATTTAACGAAAACCATCCCCACAAAAATGTATCTGCTGTTTATGTAATTAATCTAATACAAAAAAATTTTGAAACTGGATCGGTAAATAATAAAAAACGTGATATGAATAATCGTGGAGCACGAGATGAAGCAACGCAAGTTGCAGTTCTTGGTCACGTAAATTTAGACCCACAGCTTTCAGTTAGAAAATTATCGGAAGCTTCGGGAGTTGCAAAAACAACGTGCCATAAAATATTAAAATTAAATAAAATGCATCCTTATAAAATACAGCTTCATCAAGAGTTGGGCGACGATGACTTCGATAGAAGAGTCCAATTTTGTGAAACTATGACAGGCATGATTCGGCAAAATAGAAATATTTTGCGAAATATTTGTTTCAGAGACGAAAGTTGCTTTTCCTTAAATGGTTTCGTAAATAGACACAATTGTCGATATTGGAGCGATGTTAATCCCCACGTTTTCCGAGAAGGCTATACGCAACGTCCCCAAAAAATTAATATGGGCTGGAATTCTAAATAACCAAATAATTGGTCCAATTTTCTATCACGAGAATTTAACTGGGCCTAGATATCTCGAGTTTTTAGAAGAATTAATAGATCCTCTTATCATTCAGTGCTTGGAAGAAAACTTAGATCAAATGCAGGAGGATCAGTTATACTTTCAGCAAGACGGAGCTCCCCCTCATTACTGTTTAGAAGTAAGGCAATATTTAAATACCGTTTTTCCAGGACAATGGATAGGTCGTAGGGGTCCTATTGAATGGCCAGCTCGCTCCCCAGACTTGACCTCACTGGATTTCTTTTTATGGGGACATTTGAAGTCTGTTGTTTACAGGACACCACCACAATCCATTGATGATTTGCGTAATAGAATCATAGAGGAATGTAGAGATTTAACACCACATGTCTTTGAAAATATTCGGAACGCTTTCGAGAATAGACTGTACTATTGTTTAAATGTAAACGGTGAACATTTTGAACATTTGATTTAACTAAAAAAATAAAAAGAGTCCTTACTTTAGTTTATAAAGCGAAATTTTGTTGGTCTATAAGAATACCTATTTTTGTGATAAGTTGTATTTTTTTGTGATAAGTTGTATTTTTTTGTGATAAGTAATATTTTTTTGGATAATTAGATTTTTTTGTTTCTATATGCTTTAATTATTTCGAAATTTGTCTACTGTCCAAGGTTACTAGTTCTTTTTTTTAATATCTGGTATCTGAACCTTTAGCTGTAAATATCTTTTAAAGTTCATTATGTAATTAAGTAATTTTTTCACATAGAGATACTAAAAAAACTACGCTCTTTCAGAATATGTAAAAAAAAATACAGGGTGTCATTTAAACTTTTGAATCGGGGGTGGCTGAGGGCGGCAGATATCACGTTGGAGTGGTATCTTATACACTATTAATTTACCCCCTACTTCCTTAATGACCTTCCAAAATTTCAAGTCGATATATTTTAAAACACCAGAAATAATTCCATTTAAAGTTTTCGCGCGGACACCCGGTATATATAATCAGTGAAAAAATGTATATTCGATGTTATTAACATTTTTTTCTTTACCTGCTTAAAGTAGATACATTTAAATTATAACCTACATAAGTCGATATAATATAATTCAAATTATCTTGTGACTGTACCATTCACAATGTTTAAGATTAGTTTGCCTCGAAACACTTATTTGTAAGTCATGCTGTTTTTACCAATTGATATAAATGAAACAAATAAAACGCCAAAAAGTTACCATTTTCCCACAAAAAAAAAATTAAATTATAACACCCTGTATCTGAAACAAAGCATCTGCGGACCCATGTTGATAAAAACTATTTGTCTTATTTTTTGGTAAGGAATTACCACACGAGCGATGGCACATGTTTTTTAAAACACCGTATATATTGTGTGGTTTTACATCTAGATGTAACATAAAGAAGTATTTTTTTGTGCTATAATTAATGTTAAGTTTGTAATTACTTACTTCATTAATAATAATCTGTATCCCAATGCTGAGGCCCCTTAGGTAGGGGGCATTAGTAAAAAAAAGTTATAGAACAAGTGTATTAATTACTGGAACAATTTAATTTTTGAGGTAAATAATCTTTTATTAATAATGCAATTTTTTGTTTAATCTGTACCAACTTTTTAAGGCAATAGTATAAATAGTATTAGAACAATAATTACCTCTGCGTATTAGTTTTCCACACACACTACAAGCTATCCTAGTATTTGGCTTTCCTCTCCTTTTCTTATATTCTTTAAATTTATGTTTTTTATACATTAGTCTATCTTCAAATGTTTCTGAACAAAAACAGCAAGTATATATTTGATTTCCTTTTTCATCAAATGAAATACATTGAAATCTAGTACTTTCAGGTGTCTCCTATAACAAAAAAAAAACAATTAGATTTTTTAATCACAAACTAATTATACTTACTTTCTTTACTTCCTTCACTTTCTTTACTTTTACTTTGTTTACTTCTTTTTCTTTGTTTTTGGTCTTGGTTATTTTCTTTGAATAACTATGATCTACAATTGCAATAGGGACAACATCATCATCATCATCATCAGAAAGATCTAAAGATTCATTACACACCAGATCAGTTGGATTTTTATCTTCATTGATATCAGAAATATGATTTTCATTTTCGGTTTGCACAGTAACTTTTAATTTACTTCTTGCTAAAACCGAAAAATTGTTTAGATGTTAAAATATACCTACAGCTTACAAAATGTAAAAATTGTAGTCGACATACATAACGGACAATCGATATAAAACATGTGATTCAGCTGGGGGTTATAGTTCACTGATATATACGAGTGATAGTAAGTTTTCGCTTTTAGAAAACAAACGCACAGTACGAGGTGAAAAATTACACAAAAACGTAAATGCTGTTAATCACACCATGATAAAAAATAGTAATACCAGCCTTATTTATTGAGCTGAAAATAATAATAATACTGTCCCTATTCACTTCCTTATGAGTGATGATTGATAGTGACATTTGACTTACAGATAAGGAAACCCACCCACCCACCCACTCACCATCACAAAAGGATTCAGATAATTTTAAAGAACAAGCCATGGCAAGTTGTTTAAAACTTAATATGGTAAAATATTATATAGTAATCATATTACTAGCATATTATACAGGTGAAAAGAAGGTAGAAAGTTCCAATTAAAGGATATCCAAGAACTCCCTGAAGATGGTTTTCTGACGATATCATAATTATAATTACAACACCAGAGGGAAATAATATTTAATACAACTAAAAAACCTTAACTGAAACACACATCAGTTTTTTTTAATGAACTTACCCAGTGATATAAGTAACTTTATTTATCAAATATCATACAACAATTCAAAATAAACTAACAATTCAATATAAATACGAGAGACGCTAAAATGGTGGTTCCCACCTTATCGAGACTGAAGCCCACAAGGGTAAACTCGTAGCGTAACAAAAACGAGAAATGATTTAAATTGTAACGAAATACCGAAAGCCGATAGGAAAGGGTGATCCAATTTGAATTTCCGAACTTTAAAATGAAATAAAAGTCAAAAATTTAAAAAAAATTATATTTTAACTGTAGCAATAGAAAATACTAACAGCCGTATGCATAGTCGATCGCCAGCGACTCGCCAGAGATTCATTCCGGCGTTTCGCCAGCGATTCGCTGGCGATCCGCCGGCGAAAGCCCAAAAAGGTGGCGTCTCGCCGGAGATTGTCACCGGAATGTCATTTCACGCAAGTTTTTATTTTCTTTTAAAGGGATTATCACCGGTATCTCTCGCATTTTATTCATGATTCATTTCTTAAAACTCAAAAAATAATAAACGAATATCAATTTTTTCCCTATAAAAGAACATGAAAACTTGCGTGAAATGACATTCCGGTGACAATCTCCGGCGAGTCGCCAGCTTTTTGGACTTTCGCCGGCGGATCGCCAGCGAATCGCTGGCGATCGACTTTGCATACGGCTGTAAGTATTTCATTAAGTATGGAAAATAATATCATTTTAAATGGCCGCTCCTAGATCTTCTGCAAGAGTCGATCCTTTTTAGATACTTTTCGATTACTTTTTCAAACATTTCGGGCAGTATGTCGGCAACAACTTGGCGGATATTGTTTTTCAGATAATCTTACGTTTCGGATTGATTGGTTATGGTCCTTAGGCTTCAGCTCTTGTGTTCGCTACATTTTATATGGGTGCAAATGCAAATCCCGATGCAAAATGCGCCAAAGGGAGCCATAAGAAAAGCCTCAAATTTGCGAACGACAGCGAATCGACATACTTGGGTTTGCAGCCACGCTTTCACTAACTGCAGCAATATTTTCAGCTGAATGTACACGACGATGATTTGTAAACCTCCTATCTGCAACACTTCCATATCTTCAATTTTTTTAACATTTCGAATAGTTCGTTCCGTAATACGATTAAATTGACCATAATCTGCGCGTAAAAGTCTGTATACGGTTTGTATGGAATTGTTGTTTAGATAAACCAATCACATAATATTCATGCATTGAGCGGTCGTTAAGCGATCCATTTCGTAAATGTGTTTCTACAAACTGACTTTTGACGCTTCGAAAACAAATGCATATTATTAACTGTCTGATTTACAGTAGTGCCAATGTAGGAAACTGAAATTGGACCACCCTTTAGTATTAGCACGTTGAATTTTTTAGTTTGTGAAGCAATAGCATTACATAGGTTAAACCATGTGACGATTTTCACAAGCCTTGATTTTTAAAACCATTCTATATCGCCTTTTGATTAGGGTTTAAAAACTCGTTCGAGCAATTTATCCAATAATAATTGGCCCCTTTACCTGTTAAGCCTGCTCATGTAAAATATTTGGGCTTCTTACTTCGCCTATTTATATTCTATTAATAATGGACAGAAGGATGAGTATTGCAACTATGTTAAAAGAAATAAATTGGCTTTCAGTTCAGAATTATGTTCAGTAAATAACTGATATTTATTTATAAAATAAAAATGACATAGTACCATCGCATCAGATCTATTAGAAAAAATTCAATATAATTCGCAATATCACAACTATAATACAAGAAACCAATCTGACTTTCATATACGGCAAGCCATCACTAAAAGTTCCCAAAATACAATTTTTATTAAAGGTTTAAAAAATGTTAATAGACTGCCTACAGAAATTAAAAAAAAAAAAAACAATAAATGTAAAGTAACCTCAAACAATACTTGATAAATAAACAGAACGGATATACTTTCTTGTGATAATACTCTTTAAACCTGCCCTTTTTAAGTATATCCCTTAATTTATTGTTATTTTACCCCTTGTTTTATCCTCATTTATTATACATTATTTGTTTTGAGATCATGTACTTTATTTTAAAAAATTACTTGATGTTATATTAATACTACTTACTATGTTTAAATTATTAATAGTTTTGCGAAGATAGGTTATAGCAACTTATAGCCACAAAACTATTTTTGTGTTAAAGTAGATCCATAGAGAGTAATATAATTTACAAAGGCCTTCTTACAACATACAAATAAATGACAACTTTATAATTAAAATGAAAAACACAACAAAATACCTCGGTATCATAATTGATCCAAATTTGAAATGAGCATTATATCCTACCTCTCTTTTATATAATAAAAAAGTGCTTTGTGTAAGAACATTATATTATCTGTCTTGCTGTACCTTTATTTATGGAAAGCCTGAATTGAGATATTTATTATTTGCAATAAATATCAAAAGAAGTATACATTTTTAAATAATGTGACATTTAAGAGCCATTCACATATCACAGTTGACATCTTGATACTTGACAGGCACAGCCAAGCATTATTTTGATTTTTGCCAAATAAACTGGCTGGTTAATTATTCTATGGGGTTGCGACAGAGAACCAGTAAATTTGATAAAGGTGTTTTTGTCGCTAGGGGCGAAATAGTAGTACGCTTAATAGCACCACCATAAAAAAGTCATTTTTAAGAAACTGCTTATATATTTTTCATAAATTGGCAGGCTTGGCGACTAATTTCGAATTTCGATTGATAACTGCATAGTATTTTATTTGATTGTACACAACTACTTCTAAAAGTTTTTCACAAAATGGAAGCATATTTATAGATCGCAACTGATCTGCCTTGTTTGTATTAGATATTTTTGGGATTGGAATTATTCTTAATGTTTTAAATCTCTGTGGAACAATAACCTTATCTAAACTAGTATTTATTAAATTAAGTAATGGATAACCAAGTACATGAAATAGATTCTTAATGATATCAATACCTATCTCATCTGTAGTAGACTTCTTTTTTTTTTTACTTTTAATTACTTCATACAAAATTACTTAGGGTAACTGTTCTAAACTTCGTCACTGATGATTCGTTGAAGGAAACTGTTTCCAAGCAAGCTTCAAAGTCATTGTAAGGGGTTTTCTCGCCTCAGAGAAAACGATTACTTACAAATGACGCCTGCTGACGGGACGGCTCTCGGGCGCCAGATTTTATGTGTGGTTTACTCCACAAACTTTCGAAACGGCGTCGAAAGTACTCGGGCAGCACAGATGGAGATGAAAAATTCCAGGGGTCGTTGGTCACTCAGACACAGGTAATAAGTAACCACAAGTAACGGGCTTTAATCGTTACTTGTGGTGATAAAGAATTTCTCACTGCTGAAATAAAGGGGGAAGTAAATTAGGGATCAGTAACCTCAGTAATAGTCAAGGTAACGTTGACACATATATTGAATTTTAACTATTTACAATAAATAATTTGTAAGTAATATTTCAACGCCCACCCTCGCTCGTATTTTTAAAACCCTGAACAAAAAGAAAAACAAACAGATCGGCCAGTAGTGAACTTTGATTAGTCTCAATCAGACGGTATAATTAAAATTGAAAGAAAGATGCTCGGTGGCAATAGTAACTAATTAATAAATTGTCGGTTCGGTGGTTGAGCCAAAACGAAACCAAAAACAAAATTACTATTTCAGTTAAAAAGAAAAATGGCAAATAATTGCGGTTGTAGCAAAAGTTAGCTAGTTAACTGTTAAATCGGCAAAAAGATTGAAGTTAAATATTTTGTTTCGTAAAAGCAGAAATAAAATCACGGTCGTAGAAAAAGTTATCTGGTTAACTATCTAGTCGGTATTGAAAATGAAACAAACCTCCTTGTGTTAGTGAATAGGGAATAGATAAATGTGGTAAGAAAACGGGATAGTATCAATCCTATGAGGAGTGTACTCGCCAAAACCAGCCCGCTCAACATAAAAATGATACTATCATTTTAATCACGGGGCGGAGGTAACTAAAAAAAATAATTAAAAACCGGGTTAGTATTTGTCCTATGATGAGTGTACTCGCCAAAACCAGCCCTCTCAAACATAAGAAAAACACTAACATGTTAATCACGGCTAGGGGTTAATCTAAAAAAATCTAATACCGGGATAGTATCTAATCCCATGTGAGCTTTCTCGCCAAAACCAGTCCACTCAACATGAAAAATGATACTATTTCAACTTTCCAACTTTCGAACTAATTCTATTCCCAAGTAAAGAAACATAAATGTAAAAAAAAAGTTAAACCAGATTGTGAATAAATAGAAACAAAATTTATGTTCGTAGTAAAAGTTAAGTAATTAATTATATACGGAATTTAATTTAAATTTATTATTACTTAAAAATAG